ATCATGACCCTGAGATCATGACTTGAGCCGAAATCAAGAGTCAGACACTTAACCGACTGAGCCACCCTGGTGTCCCTGAAATCTGAATTCTTGAAGGCTAAGGGTGCCTGTCACAGAGAACCGGGGAAGACTGTAAGAGACAGAAATACGGTTATTTTTCCAACTGGGCAATGGTGGGATACTATAAACCTATTATAAAAGTCTACTAAGGAGCATTTTTCTGGAAGTGACCAATGTCCTACCTATGATCTATAAAGCCACTGATATTCCAGAAGGTTTCATAGGCTGCACCCAAACTTGAAGGTATGTTTCCTTCTTTAGATGTGGAAGAAAATAACTTTTTGCAGATTTTAAATATGAAGAGGCTATATAATGCAGTGATTGGGAGCAAGGGCTCTTAGAGCTGTGGTTCATAAGTCATTTTGCCTCCCAGGGGACATGTGGCAATGTCTGAAGACATTCTTGATGTCACACCTGGGGGAGGGGGTGTTACTGACATCCAGCAGGTAGAGGCCAGGGACGCTGCTAACCATCTACAATAAAGTCGGACAGCCCCCCGCCACACAGATGTAGCTGGCCCCAAATACCAACAGTGCTAAGGTTGAGAAACCCTGCCATAAAGCAACCAGCCTGGGTTTCAGATCACTTAATACCTGTGTAGCCTCTACCAAGTTACTTAACATCTTTGTCCTTACTGTCTTTACCAATGAAATTAGGATAATAATGGTACCCACCTTATTGATTTGTTGTGAGAATAAAATAAATGACGCAAGAAAGGAGCTAAGAACAATGTCTGAGACAAAGCCAGTGCTCAACAAATGTTTCCTTTCGTTATCACTGGATGTACTGAGAAAGACTGAGAAAGAAATATACCAAAATTTTAATAGTGGTTGTTTCTAGGTGGCAAGATCATGACTGGTTTTTATTTTTGTTACACTTCTTGTTTTGTTTTTAACATTTTTATTTATTTGAGAGTGAGAGAGCACTCAAGTGAAGAAGGGGGAGATGAAGAGGGAGGGAGAAAGAATCTGAAGCAGACTCCACACTGAGCACAGAGCCCAGCATGTGGCTCGATCCGACAACCATTAGATCATGACCTGAGCTGAAACCAAGAGTTAGATGCTTAACTGACTGAGCCACCCAGGTGCCCTTATTTTCCTTACACTTCTATAATTTCTCTTCATTTCCCAAATTTTCTAGAACTGTATTTATATTAACCTAATATCCAAAAACATATTTATTTTTAAAGAATACAGAGGAAAGAACTTTTCTTGTGATAGAGCAGAAAGAGCACAGAATTCAGATCCTGGCTCTATTTGCTGTGCGGGACTTTGGGCAAGTTGGTTACTGTCACTGGGCTTCAATTTCCTGGATCAGAAATGGGGGCTAACAACCTATATCACAGAGTCTCTATCAGGATTACACAGGACAGACATCCAGTGCCTAGGAAAGTATGCCGAATGAGAGGCTCCCTGAGTTGATCGCTTTAAAAGTTTAGCCAAGGGAAAATGACCACATGAACAGGAAAATATATTCATTATGGTACCCCTCTTTTACTTTTGAAACTGTCCTCTTGGAGAGACCACCTCTCAGCTCATGCCATTTTTTTGCCCTGGTTCATAAAGGAGAAGTTGCGTCCATACTCTGGTTCTTCTGTCCATTGCTTCCTCCTTCCCTACGTACACATATGCTAGGAAATGATCCAGTCATTGGGCTCGCAGGGCCTGACTCAGGTGGCAGGGTTTACTAGCAGCCGGCAAGTGACTGTGCCTGAAAGGCAGGACCCAGGCCTCACTTTCTCCTATCTGTCCCAATGCTCACTGCCCCCTTCCTCTTTCATCCCTAGCCTCCAAGTTGAAAGCACACTTGGCAAGGCCTCTCCATAAGGGGATGCCTCTCTACCTTCTCTCTGTTTGATCTTCTCTGATCTTCTGCAGATCTGCTCTCTGTTTGAGTAGAGCTGGTAGATTTGAGAGAGATGAGTGGGAAGCCCAGTGAGGCTTCCACACCCAAGCCTGTAGAGGACACCAGTCCCACTTCTCTGAGAAGCCCTGCAGGAGTGTGGTGGGCATGCAGCACATGCCTGGCCTTACTGGGCTTCCAGCAGGGCTCTTTCTTTTGCACAACTCACTCAACAGGTAACACTGAAGGGAAGGATGAGTGGGTACGATTCAAGGACCCACACCTTATCTACAAATCTATTCTTCTTCTCCTTAGTGACTTAATTAGATGGGAATAATAGAATAGGTTATGTTTGTGAATATTAACGAGAGACGTGACTATTTATTTTTTATTTTTATTCTTTGACATAATCTCTACACCCAATGTGGGGCTCGGGCTCATGACCCCGAGATCAAGAGTAGCACGGGAGCTCCAAGAGAGAGGATTATTTTAACCCCAGTTAGCCTGCTAACTTGAATTCAAATCCTAAGCAATCTTTCCAGATACCCTGAGACGATCTTTTGCACTCAAGTCCTAGCTGCCATGGTTTGGGAAAGGCAGCCTGGCTCCAATCTACTCTGACACTAACGATCCCAGGGTTCTCTGGGGAGGAGTCCTGTAGTCCCGTGAGCTCTTGGTTCAGCATTCTGAGGACTGGGAGCCACAGCTGATTAGGAGAAGCCTGCCTGGGGCCCGAACTGACCTCAACACGTTCAGTCTCAACCCAAGGTGAACTATTTCAGTGTTGGTAGATGATGCCAGGCAAACACCAGAAGAAAATAAGGCTGTTAGGGTGCCTCTATATCTAGATATAAATAAAAACACCAGGAGAACTTCATTCTAAAGATAAGTGAAATGTCAGGGGGATTTGTAATCCCCAGGAAGGAATTTATGGATAGTTCTTGGACTCTAGTGTGCTACTGCTCGAGTCAGTCTGACTGGCATATATAAATTTCAGACACAACTTTGGCTGTTGTCAAGGTCTCTCCCACTACACATGTACTTCTTCATTGTCCTCCCTATAAGTACATGCAGAACAAAATAGACATGGGCCCCCAAACAGGCCCCAGCAGAATGCTTTCAGAGCTTTTGCAAATGGATATCGAGAGCTTACGATACACCAGGCCTGGTGCTAAGTGCTAGAAACCCAATGATGGAAGATATGGTCCCTTCACTCAAGAAACTCACTTCAGGTGACTATAATAGTGTAAACGTGGTATTTGTCCCAGGAAAACAGATTTCAGCAGGGATCCGGGGCTTAATATAAAAGACTGAAGTTCAGTATTGTAGGGGACACAACCACTCTTCAAAGTATTCTTCAGTGAAACCCTGAAGGGAAATACCTCATTTAGTAAAGAATTTCACAATTTTTGATTTCTACCCCTTTTCTTCCTCCTTATTATCTTTAACCTAGTAATTTCCCTTAGTTTTCCCATAGCATATAAGATTGAGATCAGTCATCATTTATTGTCAAGAGCCGGAAGGGAAACTCCACAGACCAAAAGGAAGAAATCTTTATATTTCAGAAATTTCTAGAAGTTAAGAAAAAAATTCCTTTTTCCCTTAAAAGCCTAATATAATTTGCAAAGAGAGTAATCTATTCCCTTAAAGTACCGTAATATTATTTTAAAGCAACAGATCCAGTCTGTTCGATACCATAGTTTGTATTCATAATTTTAAAAAGTTTTTAATCTATTTATTTTATTTTGAAAACCAAGTAAGTGCTTTTTAAAGATAGTATGTTTAGGCTGGTATTATTACTAAGGTTCAGAGAATGAAAGAATGTTAAGTTCAATTTAAAAAAAAATCAACCATGATGTAATTCTAGGTTTCTTTTTTGCCTTTGGACATCATTTGGTCACCATAGTAACACAGTATTTTACTACCAGATATCTATACAGCACAAAGGGAAGAGAAGAACAGGGAATTACTTACTGGGTTATTTGAGGGTACAGAAGGTGACTATTGGGATAATTTAAGATTAAACATAGATTCCACTGGGGATCTGTTTCAGCAAGGCAAGCTGATTTGATCTTCTAGTAGCGTCAGCTGAACAAAATTTGCAGCCAAATCAACTGTTGACATAATTTGAAAGAACACAAGCAGGGAAGAAGCACAGGTTAGTAGTTAAAATCATGGACTCTGGGGTCAAGTTTCTTGGGTCCAAATCCTGTTTCTAGTATTTGCTAGCTGTGTGATCTTGGGAGTGTTCCCTAACTTCTCTGTGCCTTAGTTTCTTCATTACCAAAATGTCAGTACTATTACCTCCCCCAGAGGGTTATTATAAGGATTAAATGACTATTTGTGCTTATAATGACGTCTTGCACAGAGCAAGACCTTTTTAAATATTTGTTAAAGATGAAATAAAATTTAAATTTGCTAGCTTCTCTCTTTGTGCTGGGTAGAAATGGTCAAAGATACCAAGATTTGAGTACATAGCAGATTATTTTAGCCTGTAACTTTGGAAGATTCCTTTGAGAACTTCCTGGGAGCCTTCTTGATAGCTATTCTGTAAGATTTGGAAGTCAGTGGCACTCTACTATCCCAAACAAGAGATGGAAATAATCATGAGCTCTCCCGGTATCAGGAACACCCGAAGGCAGACAACTGCACAGCACAAAGAAACAGCACGCCTGCCCACTCAGGCTCCCTAAGCCACCGCCAATCACCTCTGGGGACATGGGCACACCGAATAAGCAACTGAAAAGGGAGACAGGATTTTATTGCAGTGACAATGAAATTTAGTTGATTTCAGTAATATTATTTGTTTCCTCTTTCCAGGATTCAAAGAAAAAAATCATTTTCATCAATTAGTGCTTTGTTTTATTAATTATCACTGCACACAATTTCCATCAATTTTTCTTCAACAGGCACTTACTCTGGTGAATCATTCATTTTACAGAACTATCTAAGCAGCTTTTCTAGACCGGTAACAAATCTAAAGCCCCCGAACCAAATCTAAGCCAGGACAAAAATCTCCAAATTGCCTGGAAAAAAGAAGGTATTATGTCCTGTAAGCCAAATTTCAGCCGCGATACCATGGGATCCCTAGCACATACCTTCATCTGGACTTGATTTCAGAGATGGTCTCCTTGGGTCTTCTTGGTCAGGAACAGCGCTTGCATAGGACTTTGGAGAATGCCATACACCACCAGGAAAGCTTGGGAGCACATTCATTTCTGTCCTCTGCCTTCCCCTTGGCTCATGGCCTGCTTCCTGGTAGGAAGACAAGATGACGCTGTGCTGGTTGACTGTTAAACCACCTTCCCGCCCCCAGCCCACTCTCTTGGTGCCCCTCCCTCCTCCTTTCCAAGGCTCTGGAATGTGTCACATGGGAAATGGATCATGTGGCTCAAGGGGAGAATGTGGCCATCTTCTATCTCCCTTCCCCCACTTTTCCTTTCAGGAGGAAAGCAGCAGAAATCTCTGACCTGATTGGCTCTGACCAAAAATCTCCATATGAAAAGGAGAAAATTCAACCAAACCTCCAGCCTTCTCCACGTTCTTTTTTGTTTTATTTTTCATCTGAACATTTTATTCTGGACATTCAGAGTTGCTTGGTAGGGAGGGGAATGATACTTTCTTCCCAGCCTCTTTTTTCTTTCTTATCATCAACACCCTAACGTGACAAGGTGCTCCCTCACTCCCCTCTGGAGCCCCCTTAGCACGTCTGAGACAACAGTGTTCAGCACCAAGGACAGCATTACAGCCCCTTCAAGCGTTCATTAAAGTCTATTTCACTCTCAGGTAAATAAAAATATTTTAAAAATATTTCTCTGAGGTCTTGTGTATAAATATAAGTCAGGCCATATAATCAGGGCTCTGACTTCCCCTACTATCAACTTATTGTTACCTTATAAACCTAAATATAATTTTTACGTTTCATTAAACCCAAAGACCATCCCATGCCTACCTCCCTCCCAGTCCCCATTCTACCCCACCAACCCCACCCCTTAGATACGCTCCATGTTTTGCGGGGAGGGGAAATTCTCATAACATAGTTTACTATATGCCCATATATCTATGCTTACGGACAAAACAAAACACAGAAACACATGGGATTTTTTTGAGTGTGTATGTCAAGATGTCCTTAGCCCCATTCCTAGGCCTCAGGCAGGGTTGAATTAGAGAGGCAGGGAGGGAGCCTGGTAGAAGCTGTTTTGTGCAGGGTCTATCCTGCTTTGCTGACGTCCCTGTTGCCATGGTGCTAGGTAACTGCTGAAGGGGATGATTTCTTTCAGATCCGGTCACCATGGGACCCTGCTGACTAAAGAAAGGGAGAGGGAGAAGGACTGAATGGCTGAGGAGGACTTTCAATTAGCATTTTCAGAGCCAAATTTACCTAATGGGCCCTTTCCTTACTTAATTGTTGCTGACCCTAAATCTTGAAAGGATTCTGGAAATTAGTATGGACACTGCGATGGTCACTCCCTCCATATTCCACTGCTTCTTTCCCCTAAAGATCTATTTAGGTGCAACTGAATGAAAATGCCAGCTTCACAGAATGACTGTGGAGTGCCATCCCAGAGGAGGGGGAAAGGACACAGGAGCCGATTTCTCCCTCCAAGTCCCAACAGCCTTAACTGGGAGATACTTCAGAACCACACCTGACTGCTGACGCAAGGAACAATTTGCGAATGCTTTACAATGTTATGGGAGAAAGGACAAATATTTTTTAATGTGAGTTGCTCAATCATTTTGAATAAAAATAAATTAGACTAGTTTAAGGTCAATCCTTTAGATAGAATTTGGACTACCCCAAATCAGGAATTTAAGCTAGCTCTACATTTGTCTCATGAGACTGGCAGAGAACTGATTGCTTCTAAGTCAGAGTCCTTACCATGGCAATTCTAAATATTTATTTTTGGAGGCAGAAATACTTTCAATGTGCAGGAATGCAAATTCTGTAAAAAAAAAAAAAAAGAGGTTGCACAGGGGAGCTGGAGTATAATTTCAAGAAATCAAAGTTCCTTCCTGGCTCAACATTCACAGCTTAAGACATAATTACTTCTTTTATTTTAGGAGAAGAGTCAGGTTAATTCCAGTTTTTCTATATAAGACTCACAGAGAATTGCAACTCTGCTAATTCTGATACTTGCTGCTTTCAGAAAATTCATTTATCAGGAAAGCTAGATAGGTCTCTGAAGAAATTCTTAGAGAGCCAGCAGGATGGTGACTTCGATATCATCTCCCTTTTCTTAGCCAGTAATAACAAGAACAACAACACAAACAGCTAATATGTAACATGTACCAGGTGTTTAGCACATGTCACTTAGTCCTCCTACCAAACCGTGAGACAGGTACTACAATGATCTCTCCTGTTTTATAGACGAGACTGAGGCTTCCAGAAGATAAGGAATGTGCTCCGAACTGCACAGCTAGTTAGTGTGGGAACAAGGCTTTGGAACTATTTAATCTGACTCCAGAGCAGGCACACTATACTATACTATTCTGCATCGTGAATAATGGACTAGACTAAAATAAGTTGTCAAATGTAATGTAATGTGATTCACTACTAAGGGCCTCCAACAGGAGAAATCAAAAAGATTGCTTCAAATTACTTGAGACCAAAAAAGACCAAATTATTCATTCCTTTTAGGATGATTGCATGGGTACATTATGGCTTAATGATAAAATAATAATAATTTTTTAAGGAATCATAATTCGGAATATTATTAAACATGTGGTGTAATATACTAATTGTGGTTTAAAAATCTTAAATTTGTAATCACCAAACTTATTCCTGGTCATTTGGAAGAAAATAAAAAGACAGAGTCTTCCATCAAAACTCCACAATACTTGTAATTGGGGTAATATTTTGAAAATGATTTATGTGATTTTTTTTCTCCTTTGCCTGGGAATCAATTTGCCTTGGAAATAGGGAGTGTGGCACTGTTTCAAGTTACAAAAGGAATGGAAAGAAAGAAGGAATTAATATATTCAGCTTCTGAAATTCAAAACAGGAGTGTGCAGCAAGACAAAAGCCTTGAAATCCAGGCTGTTCTTTTGAAAGTCATTCTTGAAATTCCTTTATTTATGCTTTTACTTGTCATCAACCAAACATGGGAGAATTTGCTTAGAGTGTTTGGTACTCTAGAGAGGTCTTGAGACTGGGGCAGACAAAAACTTTCCAAGAGTTCCAAGAGCATGCAGACAGTTTTATGGGAACTAATTTCTAGAACCTCAACTTCCACAAGTATGCTTTCTAAAGCTGATCTTCCTGAAAACCTGTGCAGTCAGGATGCCATACTGATTCTTGGTTCCCACCTACTAGTTTTCCTTCCATTTTATCATAGAATGGTAAACTCTCACCCACCTTTACCTCAAATCCTATGGTGGTGCACTGCCTGAATTTAAAAAGCTCCTGGGAACCGAAGGAACAACTGGAAATATTGGGGATGATCTTGAGATATTAGTGACCAGCCCCCCAAATTGAGTAACAAATCCTTTTAAAAATCATGTGTTTTCTGATTGCTTTCAACAAAACTGAAAGCAAACCACTATCCAACTGGCCACCGAGAGATTCATTAAAATAGTTTTCTTAAAAGAAAGCTCTTTTTACAGAAGAATGCCAGCTAATAAATACAGAGTATAATAGCTAGGGCACCATTTTTGTAGCCCCCCAATGAAATAACCTATTCAGGCAAGGACTAAAATGGGTATTCAAACTATCGAATGAGAAGTTGTTGAGAACAGGTTGTTTGTAGATTATTTGCAAACTGCAAAGAGAAAAGTATCCTTTTCCATGGTGAGACTGGAAGTGGGTAGGGGTCACCATCTTAACCAGGTGACCGAATTTTAGCATCACTAGTAGTAAGACAGCCTGAAATTATGTGCCTAACACGAAGCAATGTGACCTACCCAACATTACTAATCAAGTATTCTTTCTAAAAAATGTTTAATCTGAGTCTAATCAAACTTCTATCCATAATGTCTAGTTTCTTAAAAAGGGCAGGGGTTGGAGAACAAGTTGTAAGACATATGAGGAAATAATCAGCCAAACTGAGAATACAGAATATTCTACAAGGGGATTCACCTGGACGTATCAAAAAGTCAATGTCACGGGGCACCTGGCAACTCAGTTGGTCAAGCGTCCGACTCTTGATTTTGGCTCAGGTCATGATTCTCAGGATTGTGAGATCGAGCCCCATGTCAGACTCCACACTGGGCATGGAGCCTGCTTAATATCTTCTCTCCCTCTCCCTCTGCCCCCACCCCACCGCTTGCATGCTCTAAAAAAAATTAGTAATAATAAGTCAATGTCATGAAATAAAAATTAAAAAGGTGTGCTGTTTGCAGGGTATGCTGTTACAGAATCAAAGAGACTAGAGATCACAACATAGGATTTGCTGAGATGCTAAATGGGGAGGGAGAGAGAATAAAGTAGCTATAAAATATTTTTGGGACAGTTTGGGAAATTTGCATTATGAAATGGATATTAGATAATATCACGGAATTGTTATTTATATTAGGTGGGAAAAAGGAATTGTGGTTTATTGGAGAATTTTCTTATTCTTAGGAAATGCTGACATATTCAAGAAAAAGTGTCAAGACAAATGCAAGTTACCCTCAAACCATTCAACAACAAGAAAATATATGTATGTACATATACAGAAAGGGCAAGCAAATATGGCAAAACATTAACAATTGGTGAAATCTAGGTGAAGAGTATATGGGTGTTTAATATTGTACTTATCTTTAAACTTTGTCAGCTGAATGAAAAAGTAATAAATACTGCCCTATGGCAGAACAAGGACATGCCACATGGAGTCTCTCCCTTTCCAGCTTAGGTTTAGTGAGAAAGAAAGAGATAAAGGAGAATAAAGCTGTCAGGAAACTAGGCCTGACCTCTTTCTGGGCCAAAGTTGGATTTGAGTGTATTCATTTTCTACCGTGGCTATAACAAATCACCACAAACTTAGTGGCTTAAAACAACACAAATGTATCATCTTACAGTTCTGTAGGCTAGAAATCGGACATGGGTCTTACTGGGCTAAAATCATGGTGATGGAAGGGCTGCATTCCCTTCTGGAAGCTACAGAGAAAAATCTATTTTCTTGCCTTTTCCAGCCACCCACATTCCTTGGCTCATAGCCCCCTTACTCCATCTTTAAAACCAACAACTTTGTACCTCTCTAACCATTATTCCATAGTCACATCTGCCTTTGACTCAGGTCTCAGACTGGAAAGGTTTTTCAAAGACCCATGTCATTAGATTGGGCCCACCCAG